GCCCGCACACCGCGATGAAGAGTGGCCCCCGCTTGCCACAACTAGAGAAAGCCCTCGCGCAGGAACGAAGACCCAACACAGCCATAAATAAATAAAAAAACAAATTTAAATCATGTGGGCTTCTAAGAAGACCTCTGCTTAAAAAAAAAAAGAAAAAAAAGAATGTGTGTATGTGTAAAACTGAGTCACTTTGCTGTACAGCAGAGACTGGCAGAACATTGTAAATCAACTATACTTCAATAAAAAATAGTAAAGTGTAGAGAAGCCATCTTTACAATGTTTTGCAAACACTTTTCAATAAGCTCTAACAATATGAACATTTTCAGACTCAGATTCTATTTCATTATGCACATCTTTTATCTATTTTTACTCCTCAAATTCCTTTGGTTGTATCTAAAAATCTAGTGAATCTTCTGAATCATGTTTTCGACATCACAGGTTCCACTTAACACCTAAAATTTATAGAGTTAAAAATCAACTTAAAGTGCACAGTGGATTTTCATTGTTTAAACATAAGATCTATGTTCTAAAGAAGGGCAAATGAGAAGTTCTTTGGGTGTGGTTTGTGACAGGATATTAGGGTGGAACCCAGAATTACACAGGAAATTATAGCTTGAGAAAATGTAAGATGGTTTAAAATAGAGAATTTATAAGGAAGAAAAGTGGTATTATTTTTTTCTTTCCATTCCCGAAGCATTGCTTGGGGGCTGCTTAGATTCAGAAGAGAAAGGATTCCATTGCTTTTAAGTATTGCAAAGAGCTCCCAGGCCACCCTTGTCAAAAGATAGAAGGGATATTGCAGAATTTGGTACTATGAGAACAAGTACCAAACAACAATTTGGTACTATGAGAACAAGAACAAACAGGAGCTGACAGGTTTTAGCTAGTTTTTACAGGCATGTGTAGATATTGCCAAATTCTTAAGTTTCTGAATGACGTCATCCTCCCAACAAATTTCTTAAATGATGCCTTAGCAAACAAGCAGTTCTATCCTAACGATGTCTTTCTGAGTAAAATGTTGAATCACTCAAAGGATACAGATTAGAAAGAGAGAGAGAAGAAAATGCTCTGTGGGAGGGGCAGAGCTTTATAAAACCAGTCATCGCCATGCCTGAACTCTTAACAACTCTCAGAGGACTGTTTCTTGTCAGACAGAGAATAACCAGGTATTTCAGTCATTTCCATGTCTATCTCTATGAAATATGGTTTTATTTTGCACACTGGTATTATGAATATAATGAAAATTAAAATGTGGGATGTTTTTAGAAGATGGGTAAAAATTTACTGGTGTTTTCTTGTTTCATTGTTTGTTTGAGAATATTTTAGTTCTAGATTTGAATTAAATTTATAGCAAGACCTAATCTTAAATCTCAGAGGCCAGCAAAGGCCTATGTAACATTCATCAAACCAAAAGGTACATTTAGTTTGTGATGTCAATTTTGCCAAACAGCTTAGAATGTGTATATTCTTTACTAGTTAGTGTTTGGCACTGAATTTGATGAGAATAGCTAGACCAATTAAAATGTATTAATTTAGCAACTGAAAGTAATCTATAAATTGTGTATACATATAATAAAGGCAAAAAAGATAACTCAGTTTTTAATCTAAAACAATCAGAAATTAAGCAGGAAGCTCGGTTGGGTCAGTTCAATACCAAAATACCTTTACTGAATTTAGTTCAATAATCAGTCAATCTAGTGAGAGGGTTTGAAAAATCAGCCAAATTAGTTGCTGGATTGACTGAAGTAATAGGTCAGTAATAGTAATAAGTCATTTAATAAATACCCCATAGACAAACAATTATTCATTATGAAAGTCATCAAATATCAGAAAATGTCTTTAATTTTGTGGGGGGAGAATTTGGTAATTTGAAAGGGAAATTTCCTTGAAGTTATTGTTTTCTCTGTGTTCTCATGAATTTTTGTGGTCAATTTCAGAATATTTGCACTGTGTCGTTGCAAAAAAAATTCTTTAAAATGCTACAGCAAACTGAAATCTAACCTTCGATGCCAACGAGCAGAGCAACTGTTGTAGTGGCTCTGGCAGCACCTCCCAAGTTCTTTGTCACCTGTGCCAAGTTTCAGTGGCACATCTGTCAACTTGTTTTACAGGAACGAACACAGACATCATGGAGCCCAGCCCCACATGTGCTTTTCATCCATTCGTTCTTCTAAAGAGAATATTCAATGTTGATTAGGAATATAACCTCCGGAAGCTGATGAAACTGTGTGACTCTGGTGTTAAGAAATTCACAACAGGTGCTACCTAAGAGGTTATGCTATCTGATGTCACTCAGTGATTCAGTTTTACATGGTCTTAGGCAGACTCTCACCTAAATGTAAGGTGTGGATTTGTTAGAGAATCAGAAGACACTATATATATATATATATCTAAAAATATAAACTTCTCAAACCTTATTTGAAAGGTCTGTAGGAAAAGTGCTAGAGTTGGAATCAGAAGGCTGAGATTCAATCTAGGCTTTGAAACCAGCTGTGCAATCAACATCTTCATATTTTCATTTTTGCTATAATAGGAATTACTAGGTTTAGTGGGCAAGTAATTATGCAAGTTAAATAAAGCAGTGAGGCCGAAGGAATTTGGTAACTGCAGTAAAGACAACACATTATTTTTTATGTTAAATGCAGTTAATTGGACCTGATTGTAAAGATAAAATTTAGACTACTTTTAAAAGAAGTACATGCATCTGGGATGATCTAATTCTGTCCTAATTCACTTTTTATTTCTTTATACAGTCAACTGAAATCCTAATGTGGCATTAAAAGCCCTCCTTGATAGTTTGCCTTGACACTTAAAGTTTGTTAGTGTCAAAGTGACAGACTATGGAGGTCGTTTTAAAGAATTAGGTATAGGAGAGGCCTCCATTTATTTTTCTGGCTCTGATCCCTTGTTTATTTTTTCACACAACAGAGAAATATTTATTTATATTATTCTCAGTTTGTTTCTGAAATGTTACTGAGATAATTTACAAAAAAAGGTCTACCCAGGACTAATTCATCATAAAGGTGATTTTAAATTGTAGAAGGAAGAGAAAACAAATTTCTGAGCCACCCAAGGAAATCTAATCTCAGTGATGAAGCAAGAGAAAAAAACAGTGATTTTAGTTTTTTAACTTAATAAGCCTTCTAGGAGTATTACAAACTTGCTTCCTTCCTCTTTTTATCTCCTCTTTCTAGCATTTCTAGAACTAGTAACTGGCCTAAACTCCTACACACAGCAGTGAGGTTAAACACCAGCAGGTAAAGTCGTGAGCGGCATTGGATAGAGTGGGTTTCTGAAGCAGACCCGGGCTTGAATCCCTGCACCATTACATACAAACTCTGTGACCTTATACCAGTTGCTTACCCTCTCTGGGCATCAGGATGTAAAGATCCTAATATCTACCTCATACAGATCCCATGAATATTAAATATTAAAGGAGACAAGAAGACATGAGAGAGTTCTGGGGACAAGTTTTACCTAATTTACTATTTTGCCTTGAAAAAATACAATTGAGTAGTATTTCCCATAAGAAATTTTGACGCAAATTGCAATCACTTTCTTCAAAAGAAATGTTGGTGAACCAAGTGTTCACATAAAACACCCATGGATTAGGGAGATGTGAGCCTGGGAGGCCCTGCTGAGGGAGCCCAAGCCTAAAGAGCTGCAGGATGTGCCTCATGGGGCATGGGGCAGCTCCCCAGCCACTGTCACAAGAAGGTTTCCTGTGGGATGATGAGTGTCAGCGTCGCTTGGTATATTTATAGATTTTGGTAATTGCAGGGTGTGTTTTAAGCCACTACAAAAGCATAAGATACAGTTTGTTGGCCGGAATCAACAGGTGTGTCCAAGCGTTTGGCTGCATGCAGAGCCTTAGGTCATGGAGGGCGTGTCTGTTATTTATCTTCAGATGGTGGATGGGGTGTGTGTGTGTGTGTGTGTGTGTGTGTGTGTGTGTGTGTGTGTGTGTGTGTGTGTGTGTGTTCCATAGCCCCAGGACCACCCCTGCAATGGGACCTGGCATTGACTTCCCTACTAGGGATGGTGGGAGAAGGGGGCCTTTCCAGCTCTCCCAGTAATGAACTGCTCAGCTCAGGGGTTGCTTTGGTAGAAAGGCTGTGGTGTGTGTGAGTGGAAGGGTGCGGGTATGCGAGGTAGGGCTGTGTAAAAATGCCCACTCTCAAACGGTGAGTCTAGGTCACTTCTAGAAGCAAGGCATTTGAAAGAAGTTTGACCATTTCCATTGGCGCCAATCAGAGTGTATATGCACGTGGCACACGTTTGAATATGCATGTATTTGCCTGTGGGGTGTGTGTGTGTGTGTGTGTGTGTGTGTGTGTGTGTGTGTGGTGTATCTGTGGGTACAACACAGAGGCTGAGAACATGACCCTGGAGGCTGGCTACCCACCTACCACCTTCAATTTCCAGTCCTTCCCCTTATAGTCGAGTGACACTGGTCACTTTTTTGCTTCTCTCTGGGCAGTAGTTTCTTCCTTTGTAAAACAGAAATAGCAATGCCTTCCTCGTAGGGTTTCCATAAAGATTAACTGGTTAGTACAGGTGAGATGTTTAAAACAGCATCTGTTGTACAGTAAGATTTCGATAAAGGCTATTTATGGTTATTGCTGTTATTATCATTATTATGATGTGGAGTGTCACTACTCATCACATGACTGTTCCCTCTATCTCAGGATTGGCTGCATAATTTGCAGTAGCCAGTGCAAAGGAAAACGCAGGGCCCTTTGTTTAAAATTATTAAGAGTTGCAAGGTTGTGGGAGCAGTGCATTGTACCGAGTGTGGGATCCTTTGTGGCTGCACAGGTCCCAGGATCACAATGATGCTGTCCCTGCTCTACCTCATGCTCTTGGATGAAAGGAGAACAGAGAGGGAACCCCTGCCCCACGCAGGGTACAGCCTGTACTACTCTGCTGACATCACTCAAAATGTTGAGCCATCTTTTAGAGCTGTTTATGTTTTTCCCCTCACTTTCTAGATTGGAACAATGGAAGAGCTTTACAAGGCAAACACAATCTTCGCCCTCAGTTTCTTCAGCCGCCTGGCAAATACAAGTGCCGCCGCCCAGAATCTCTTCTTCTGTCCATGGAGCGTCTCCTCCACCATGGCCATGATCTACCTGGGCGCCAGGGGCAACACTGCAGACCAGATGGCCAAAGTAAGTTTCTGTTAAAGTTCCAAATGAGAACAGAATGATTCCTGAACTGAATTGTACAATTGCTCTGATTACATGCCTGAGACATCTTGACTCTAACAAGGTCAGCAATCATCACAAGCCATTACAACACAAGTTCCTTAGATTCAAATCTGTAAACCAGCCAAACCACAAACACCCTCAGTGGCAGACATAGCAGAAATCGTACCAGAAGTTCTTATCCTGCAAGGTTAGAAAGGTTTAATGGTGACAACGTCTTATATTTGATACTATAAAAGCTTATATTTTTCAAAGTATTTGCAAGCTTTATCTCTATTGGTTTTAAGACAAGTGTCATTTAACATAGTGGGGAGAGTGGCAGTGGGAATGAAGCATTTTTCCCAGGGCTTCTTCTGGTTTCCGCCCTCCTAGCTCAGGTTCCTTCCATTCATGTCAAGAATTCCCTCTAGTGGTTTTAAGAGAGCGTCGCCAAGGGAAAAAATATCCCAGACCCGTGATCTCCGCACCCTGGGAGATGCACAGAGAGCAGTGTGACTCCAGAGGACCTCAGCCAACATTCTCAACCTCATGAGTTCATGTCAACAAAATGGGGCTGACATGATGGCCAGTCCTCAAAGTCAAGGTGGACGGGGTGTGGGACAGCATTGTGAGCTATTTCTGTTAAGGCCACTGGCTTCCTTGCTTGGTGAAGGAAGCTGACACCAGCTCAGTCAGGGGACCCTTTCACTAAGTCTGGGGCCATGGAAATATACTGAACTACACTTCAACCGTACATGACAATGGTCCTATGGGATGAATTCAGCACCATTAAATTTCACGCGATCCTGTATTTCCCGGGTCAGTGACCAGACCAAGTAATATATAATTAAAATTCTTTCCTATTCCCATATGTACAAACATTAAAATTAAATGCTTTAAGTACAGGCTCTGGTTTCTCACAAACACAGATTCTGTTTTCAGCCACACCAAAATGCTGCTGGCTACTTTTGACTTTCCCAGGAGAATTACACCTGAGTGTGTGTATATAGATAGATGGCTATCTCCTTCCAGGTACACGGTGACCCATTTAAGATGGGTCTTGTTTGGAGTGGCTCACAGAGAGTTGGCCTATCTCACTGCAGCAGGAAAAGGGAAGTGTCACTCCCTGCGTTTGTGGCAGTTTAAACATCAAGACTTACAACAAAACCCAGTTGCTCACATCTGAGAGCAGCAACATTTTGCAAAACTCCTTCCCTCTATTTTCTTTGCCTTGAAAAGAATAAGCCCAGTGAACTCTACTAAAAACTTTAGAAAACATCAGGGTCTTCATTTTTTAGATGTAAAGGCATCAGAAGCAATATTTCTTTGAGGACAAATGCCAAATGAAGTGCTCTAGGTACGTAAAGTAAAAAATGTGATTTTGATACGAAAGGAAAATTAACTTATTGGTCACTCGGCACAACACAGCTTTTCTGTGTCTGGCAAGTGCTTTCAGCACGTGGGACAAGGGGTTTATATAGTTTTCTTGTAACTGTGCTGCATGGGCAGATTTTAAAATTCAAAGACAAATTTGGTTAATTCCCTACTAAAAAAAGAGGAGAAGCTCTTTGGTTGGAGGAGGAAGCACGGATTTTGGAGACAGACCTGCCTGTGTTTGGGTGGTGACTCTGCCATTTACCAGCTGTGTGAGGGAAGGCATTTCAACTCTCTGAGCCTCAGTTTTCTTATTTATTTATTTATTTTTTTGCGGTACGCGGGCCTCTCACTGCTGTGGCCTCTCCCGTTGCGGAGCACAGGCTCCGGACGCGCAGGCTCAGCGGCCATGGCTCACGGGCCCAGCCGCTCCGCGGCATGTGGGATCCTCCCGGACCGGGGCACGAACCCGTGTCCCCTGCATCGGCAGGCGGACTCTCAACCACTGCGCCACCAGGGAAGCCCATTTTTCTTATTTTTAAAAGGAGAATGAAAATGCATAACCGGCAAGATGGGTGTGAAGATTAGAGAGAATAGGAGAAGCACGTGTTAGAACTAAAAGTTATCATAGCTGACACTTATAGTGCCCTGGCCAGCCACCTTTCTAAGAACATTTTATAGTTTACCCACAGAATACAAAATCCTGTGAGGTAGGTGCTCTGATTACCACAGTCCTTTCATAGAAATGAGAAATTTAGGGCAAGAAGAGGCCACACAGTTGGGAATTGATACAGCTGGTAAAGGTGACATAGTTGTAATGGAATAAAGGAATGCGTAGAAGGGATAAACTCTTATAGAGCACAGGCGATGTGAGATCAGCAGTTGTATTGTTACCAGCTCTTCTCTTTAGGGTAAGGCCACGGACCTGCCCAGGCCAAGCCGCCTCTCTGGGCAGGGTGCATCCCTCAGCATGGCCCCGGGTCACCTCACCTCCCCGCCTCCTGCAGGGACTCTCACAGTGACTCAGGAGGCCTTTAGTTCTAGCTCCGAGACCCCATCAATTTCCTTAAAAGGGAGGACAACTGGAGAAGCTGTTACATGAAATATTCTTCCCTTACATGGCGGCAGAGTCAGACCACTTCTTTTCAAAGAGTATTAGGTAAGACTTATAATGTATGATCTGAAGAGCAGAGAGAGACCCCACAAATCCTAACACCTCTCCTTCCAGCCTAGAAATTCACCACCTGCTGGACAAGCCTGCCTTTCCTTCCTTAGCAGAACGCCTACCTCACCTGGGACCCCACAGGGATGGGACCCAAAGGATGTTGGAGGTGGGAGTGGGTGGATAGCAGGGCCAGGCTCGGGGGTGCTGAGACTGGCTGAGCCAGGCTGGGAAGGCTCCAGTTTGGGGGAGGGGACCTGAGGCACCTCCCGGGGCCAGTGCGCACCTACCAGCTTCACTGTTATCTGGATCTGCCACTTACAACATAAAGAGATTCATATTGTCATCTTACCTCTGCCATTTGCCCCCCACATGGACAGATGTGTGGGATTTCTTTATGTGTACATAAGGTATGTGCAAGTATTTTAGGTGATCCCTGTAATATTGAGTGACCTGCTTTTATGTTTAAGCTAGCTGTGGCTTGTAGTTTTTGACAGGTTAGAAGTGTGTAATATATAAGGCCACTGAATAGAGAGATATAAGGTTGGGAGTTAACCTTATTGCTTCCTTCAAAATACTGGCAGGTTTTCAAGGCAACTTACGGGTTGGGTTGTAATTTAGATAACTTAGAGGTTATAAATCATCTCATCATAACAATTTGCCGTCAAAATGGATAGCATATGAATTGGTATAAAATAGTTCGTGCTGAGTCCTGTGAAGGAAATTTCCGCTGGCTGACACATGTTACATATGAAGAGCATCTATGCTTGTTGCCATACACAAAGGCAGGAAACGAGAGTCGGACCACTAAGAGGAGCTTGATAGCCATTGGTTTAAAAGTTAAGTAATGTAGCAGAAAAATGTACCCAATTCTCTGGAATTCCAATTGTAGGTGCTTCAGTTTAACAAAGTTGGAGACCACAAAGTCACCCCAGACACCCAAGAGCTCTTCACCAGTTGTGAATTCACACAGAAGATCCAGAGGGGCACTTATCCTGAGGCTAATTTGCAGGTATCTGATTCATCCATTTTTATTTCTTTTGTATTTTATTTCCAGAATATTCTTGTCTTAAAATCACAATATTAGACAGGGAAGGAACCTAGTACAACTTCCCTCCTTCATAGAAAGAAAACTAAGGCTCACAGTCCTTGAGTAAATATCCTACTCTGATAAGTAAGGGCAGAGCCAGGGTAGAATCCAGACTTCACGACTTCCAGGCCAAGACTATTTCCAAATTCTATCACCCCACTCTGCCATTAGTTGGGTGTGTATAACTTATTCTAATGCCATTGTAGAGACTCCTAGAATACACATGCATAGACGCAGATTTCCAGAGTAAGGGGTGACAAGTAATTGAGGAACGGAGAAGGCCAGGCTTGGTGACTTCATGGAAGGTCACTGACCCTCGAATATCCTTTATGTCCTCCCCTTCTATCTCCTATGGTCTATCTATCTACCTATCTATCATCTGTCTACCTACCTATCTACCATCTATCTATCTATCTACCTACCTATCTATCATCTATCTATCTATCTATCTATCTATCTAATCTCTTCAGCTAATCTATCTCACGTAGTCATTTCTTTTCCCAATACTCCATTTCCTTTAACACCAGCTATCCAGCTACATTGTACGAGCTGGGCGTAGATGCGCTCCTATGGGTAAACAACTTCCACGATCACACTCCTAAGTTAGGTTATGGGGAGATACCCCACATAGCTTTCTTCTTGGGAATTCTGATGCTCCATCTGCCTGTCAGCCAGGGAATTATGGACTTAGGAGGGGAAGAGGGCCCCTTCAATATGGAGATGCTGCCAGGTCTGAATGGACAGCAGTCCAGCTGCAGGGCTCTGACCTCTGCTTCAGCCAGGCGTTGCTGTGACTAAGCCCTGTGTGTGTCATCGTGCTTACAAACTCCAGGTTGGGGATTGGAATTTCCCTCAATTTCCTGCTTTCTAAAACCCAGATTTTCCACTTCACAGACTACCCCTTAATTATAAAACGGTACTTGCAGAAGTTATATGAACTTTTTAAAGAACACTTCTAAGGCAACATTTTAATATAATAAAAATTGCTTACAGACTTTGTAGTTTAGGAGACTGTAAAAGGAGCCTGACTTTCTTCTAGGATCTTTGTTACTTCATGGTTAAATCCAATCCATAGGCACAGTAAAATCTGAAACAAATAAAAAAATTATCTGATTGTCCATATCAGTAAAATCTGAAACAAATAAAAAAATTATCTGATTATCCATATCAAGAATATTTCCTCAGAGATTCCTCTAAAGTGCCAGAAAAAAGTATACTTTAATACAGCATTTTATTGATGTACTGGAAAAAATACCATTGCTTAAGAAATATCTTGTTTAGGAGTCTTGAGTTACATAAAGAGAATCTCTCCTTTCTGTTTAAGGCACAAGCTGCAGACACGATCCATTCATCCTTCCGTTCTCTCAGCTCCGCCCTGAACACGTCCACAGGGGAGTATTTATTGGAAAGTGCCAATAAGCTGTTTGGCGATAAGTCTGCAAGATTCAGGGAAGTAAGTGAAACCTGCGATTTAAATGGCAGGGCCCCAAACTTACAAGGAGGTCAGTTTTAAAGCTGTTCTCTCTTATTCATGCTGAGAGAGTCAGAATTCCACATGGGTTCCCTTAGACTCTCTAAGGCCGTTGGGCACTATGCAACGCAGCTATCCCTATGCTCCCTGTGTGGGTGCTTTCTCTCCCTGCTGCAAAATTCCCACCTGTAAGTCATAAGTCAGGAAGAGCACAGCTGATTTCCAGAGCCTCTATCCCCACACCCAACTTCTCCCCTTGTACCCAGTTGTCATAATGCAAAGCATGCAGGAGAGCAAATAGAATTGGGACTGGAGTTGTGGGTGGAGGTCAAGAGAACACATATAATCAGCGCCCCCTAGCCAACCTCCACCGCTACCCCTACCTCAGCCTCCCCAGTCTTGACAGGAAGCCTGTAATTCATAATTACACCAAGGCTTGTTCAGTATATATTCTATGTAAACTTTGTCTTTTTTTTTTTTTTTTTCTTTAAAGGGATACATGCAGCTCTCCAAGAAATATTACTGTACAGAACCCCAGGCAGTTGACTTCCTAGAACGTGCAGAAGATGCCAGAAAACAGATTAATTCCTGGGTCAAGACTCAAACCAAAGGTAAAACCAAGGAAGTAGTTTCTGCTCTTCTTTCCACTTAGAAAAAAGCTCTTATGTATTTAAAAAAAAAAAAAAATCCTTGAACTTAGCGCTTACTCCCAACCTTAGTTATTTTGATTAATGTAACCTGATTCTTGTTGAGCCACGTGGTGTTTGAAGTGAGAAAAAAATAATTGAGGTCTACTAATAGAAGACATATATTCAGTACTTAAATAATCTGATTTTGGATATTACCTTAGAATAGAATATAAGAGACAGCTCTTTTCTAACATAGGAAATACCAGTATTGAAATAATTGTGACTCTGTGTCTACTGTGGACAAAAACAAAGAAAAAAGGCATGACCTTCAAATGAGTAATTGGTGTGAGAATACTAGCAATGGAAAAAGGATCATAAAATTTTAACTCTTTCTTCTGTTTCACCATTCAGAGTCAGTATGTTGTCAAGTTCTTTTGGTCCCTGCTTCATCTCTCCTGGATTGTCTAAGCCACTTGTACCTTTGTAACGCATGTCCTTAATTCTTTGTTGTTGTTGTTTTTTAATTTTTAAAAATTTATTTTATTTTTTTAACATCTTTATTGGAGTATAATTGCTTTACAATGGTGTGTTAGTTTCTGCTTTATAACAAAGTGAATCAGTTATACATACACATATGTTCCCATATCTCTTCCCTCTTGCGTCTCCCTCCCTCCCACCCTCCCTATCCCACCCCTCCAGGCAGTCACAAAGCACCGAGCTGATCTCCCTGCGCTACGCGGCTGCTTCCCATTAGCTATCTACCTTACGTTTGGTAGTGTATATATGTCCATGCCTCTCTCTCGCTTTGTCACAGCTTACCCTTCCCCCTCCCCATATCCTCAAGTCCATTCTCTAGTAGGTCTGTGTCTTTATTCCTGTCTTACCCCTAGGTTCTTCATGACCTTTTTTTTTTTTCCTTAGATTCCCATCCAAAATCCCACTACCTGTTAGTAGTGAAGCTGGGGTTCCCTCTTCTTCTGAGCCTTAGTCTAATTCTGGAATTCTTCAATTGGATGTTTAAAGTGTTTGCTAACTTAATGCAAAAAACGGATTTTCATTTACCTCCTGTGTTTAAAACATTGTTTCAAGCCATAGTGTGGTGTCTTGGTTTCTTTGTTACCACAGTGGGAAAAACACATGAACTAAGTTCTATAGAATTTTTAAAAAATGTTTTGTTTCTCTGAAAATAGTTGATCTACTTTAGTTCTTCATTTCTGGATTTTTAAATTACTGCTGTAAAATATTGACACACCACTGACAAAAATGAAGCACAGAAAGTGAAGATTAACAGAAGTGAAAGTAAAAAGGTATTGCAAAATTAAAGAGACACATGGAAGTCTTGCTTTTTTGAGAACAGCAAGAATTTCTCTTCTCTTTAAGCATTTGTGTTGAACGGCTGTAAATCAATCAGTGGAATTGCCAAAATGCCAAGTAGTCATTTGGGCTGATTGTTTTAGGAAATTTTATAATAATTTGATACAATTTCTGTTTTATTTGTTAGGATCAAACACTAGTTTTTCCATATGCATTACAGAGTTAAATAAAGTCCTAGTAGATTTCTGTGGTAACCAAGAATTTTAATTCCCTGAGGGATATATTGAATAGAAATACTGAATGACTATACTGAAACTGGTCAGACTACAGTGACCTTTTTGTTTGAGTCCTATATCTGTCAGTAGGAATGGAAGATGGTGGAATTCTGACCAGCTGACAAGCATTGCGACCTTGGGAGGGTTGCTAATCTCTCTTACTATGATGTTCATTTGTATAAAATGACAATAATAATACCTACTAGAGTAGTTGTGAAGATTAAATAAATGTATTTAGTGGTTGAAATATTGCAGAGCAGGTATTCACTATAAATGGCCTGTTTCTTAAACCAACTATAAAAAAAAAAACACGTTCAGATGTTATCATTTCTGAGAACCTTCTCTGACTCCTCACTTGTTTACTCCCTTCTCTGTGATGTCATAGTTCTCTGCATTATTTAGCTCTCTTATAGAACTTATCGCACATTGTTTCCTGACTGATTTAGAACCTCTCTTCCAATATTCTCAGTCCCACCAGGACAAGTCTTCCTTTCTCACTTCTAGCACAACTTCCAAAAAACTGTTTTTGGGTCAATGAATGGGTCACATGGATAGACTGTCTAGACCAGATCTTGAAGGAGCCCTAGTGACATATGTACTGTGGAAAGGCACTATTATGTTCCTTAAGTGACCCTTTTTCACTCCCATCCGAATTAACTAACTTCATACAACTACAAAACTTTGAGAAAGAGTATAAAAGGAACTTAAAATTTTGTTCCGAGTCTGATAGTAATTCTAAACCTTAATTGCATTACTTCTTCATTTTCTCTTGGATTTTGCAAACCTCAGAAAATTGGTATCAGTTTTACTTATGATTTAGGTAAATCGAGAGAAAAACTTAAGCTTGAAGGTCAACATCTCTGCAGAGTTTGATAAATGCGGATGCTGAGTTTGATGGTGACTCAAAAGATTCAAGAAATCATGATAACTTCACAGTTCTTAATCATGAAACCTAAACATATATCATATCTTCTGTAGGCAAAATCCCAAACTTGTTACCTGAAGGTTCTATAGATGCAGAGACCAAGATGGTCCTGGTGAATGCTGTCTACTTCAAAGGAAATTGGAAAACTCCATTTCAGAAGAAATTAAACAGGCTTTATCCTTTCCGTGTGAACTTGGTACGAGACAATGAGACAGATTTTCTTAACATATATTTTAGGGCCTTTGACAAAATAGAGAAAGAAAAGTTAGGGACCACTCACTGATACTTGTACATAATTTGCCAGTTATAAGTTATGCACATTGGATAATTGATTGACTCTATTCCATTTTTTGACCTGTCAAACTAGATTAATAATAATATCCAACTCAAATTATTGTTGTAAGGATTCAACGAGATTTTGCAGAGTTCTTGGCCCCTAGTAGGTACAAACAACAAATGTTTCAGTATTATTATAATTATAATTGTCCATCTTATTACTAATGGGTATAATCTTGAAAAAGCTAAATAGATCAGAGCCACTGTCAGGGTATACAAATAATTTATTTTGTTGATTTTTAGAAACATAGTTCTTCAGAACGAAAGCAGAACCCATTCTCTTTTACGTCTGATTGTAAATCTTTTGACATCTTAGTATCTACTTTCATATTTTACTTTTTAATAATTTTAGACTCAGCGCAAAGCAGTACAGATGATGTTCTTGCACGAAAAGCTGAACATTGGATACATAGAAGACCTAATGGTCCAGATTCTAGAACTGCCCTATAATGGATATGTCAGTATGTTCCTGTTGCTTCCAGATGGAATTGCTGAATGTTCTACTGGCTTGGAGTTGGTAAGGCATTCCAACTTCCATTGTTTTAAACTTCTGGGGCTAAACTTACCTTGGCATATGTCTACAACTTGGGAAATGGTGTGCAGTTTCTCACGGAAATATGTGAATTGCTTGAGAGGAACAGTGCCAGGTCTCACACTTTCATTCAAAGGCTTAAACTTATGTCATACATGCTACTTTCTGGCAAAATTTTTACCAAACTAGTAAATTTTAATATCACCCACGCTATAGTGAAGTTAAAGTCACTGATTGTTAACATTAGAAGTTGTTTTCCTTCTCTGCTGAGCACTCACTGGTTTTGCTTTTGGACTTGTAGCTGGAAAGTGAAATAACTTATGACAAACTCAACAAATGGCTCAGCGAAGACACCATGGCTGAGGATGATGTGGAGGTGTATGTCCCCCGGTTCAGATTAGAAGAGCATTATGAACTCAAGTCCATTCTCATGAGCATGGGCATGGATGATGCCTTCAGCCAGGGCCAAGCCAATTTCTTAGGCATGTCTGAAAAGAATGACCTGTTTCTGTCTGGAGTGTTCCATCAAGCCTCTGTGGACGTGAACGAGGAGGGCACTGAAGCAGCTGCTGGCACTGGGGCCATTATGTCAGGGAGAAATGGCCATGGAGGCCCACGGTTTGTGGCGGACCATCCTTTCCTCTTCTTTATCATGCACAAGATAACCAAGAGCATCCTCTTTTTTGGCAGATTTGCCTCACCCTAAATTGAAAGTTTCTGTTTCTGTACAGGATGTTGTAATGTGAGGTATAAGCCTCAGAATTGCTCTAAGGGCCAAAACTTTAGCAACCTTCTGTACATATTTCTGTTTTTCTGAACAACTTCTATTACACAGTGAATATAAATACAGAAGTAGCTTGACATCTGTCAGTCATAACATTACCACCCTATTAATCATTTGGTCTCCTAGAATGGGATGATATCTCATTTAGTTCTTTCTTACTCTTAGTTTATTTTATCGCATTACCTTTTACTGTATTATTTATTATTTTATATAATGGCTTTTTATTATTGTTCACTGTCTAGTGTAGCTGATACAGTTAGAGAAGCATGTCATCACTTATTTTTCTTTCTAAGGAAATGCACTTATTTGTTCTTATAATGAAGGGTGAGCAGGTGTCCTTCCATGCCCTTCTGTAATAAAAACCTAGAAGAAAGCATTGAACAACAGGAAAATATAAGTGGTGTGCATTTCTAGCATTATGTATCACATAGACGTGTCTGTAACTTATGGAAGGCTGTGGATATATAAAAAATAGACGTTTCCACACAACTATTTGTTTGTTGTCATTCTGTTAGGTCTTTAGGTCATATGACCTGTTTATCTTGATTCTCGGGAATCAGGTATCATGGCTCATTTGTGAGAACCACGAAAAAATAAACAGAATAAAGGAGCCAAAGGAGAGGCTGCTGTATAGCACAGGGAGCTCAGCTCAGTGCTCTGTGATGACCTAGAGGGGTGGGATGGGAGTGGCAGGGAGGGAGGCGCAAGAGGGAGGGGATATGGGGATACATGTACACATATAGATGATTCACTTTGTTCTACAGCAGAAACTAACACAACATTGTAAAGCAATTATACTCCAATAAAAAAAAAATGACAAAAAAAGGAGCCAAAGGAATAAGCGACCGTCTTGCAAGGAGCTCCAATGTTAGTGGGGGCGGGGGGATGGAGTTGTGGGAAAAATGGATTAGAGCTGTCTTCTCACAGCAGCAAAAGGTATAGCAACTCAAAAGAATAGTTTGGGTCAGAGTCCTTTGGGGACACCTGTGTTCAAACCTCAAGGACATCAGGAATAAACACCAAGTCTAGTGGTCCAGACAAAGAATCAAGGTCATAATCATTGATTGAGGTGAGCGTTCAGAGGGGTAGAGATGAACTGGGCTCAAGACCAGAAGGGCAACATACAATGGGAAATATTGCCTAAGTGTGTTTTCCTCAAATAGCACTTAATGCTTTTGAGTGGATCAGAGAAGAACATAATTTAAGTGCTAAGAACAAAGGAAGGGCTTTCCTGGTGGTGCAGCGGTTGAGGGTCCGCCTGCCGATGCAGGGGACACGGGTTCGTGCCCCGGTCCAGGAAGATCCCACATGCCGCGGAGCGGCTGGGCCCGTGAGCCATGGCCGCTGAGCCTGTGTGTCCGGAGCCTGTGCTCTGCGGCGGGAGGGGCCCCAGCAGTGAGAGGCCTGCGTACCGCAGAAAACAAAAAGAACGAAGGAAGACCTGAGGTTTAAGGGAGCTGAGCTGGCTGAAGATTCTGGCTGCAGAAGTGTGGCTGGATCCTGGAAATGTATTCCGGGTGTCACTGTCCCTACGATGAAAGCCAGGGATGGGTGACCTACTGGAGCATGGTGGCTAAAAAGGTAACCTCAGGACATTGACTTAACTGCATCCAAATCCCAGTTCTAACACTTAGGAGTTATTTAGCCACAAGCCGGGAAATGATGCTTCTTCATGCTTCAGTTTTCTTTCAGTGTAAACTAGGGAGAACAATGCTTTTCTCATAAGGTTGCTGTGATGGTAAAATGAATTCATACAGAACAAGCAATTAAAAGAATGCTTAGCATGTACAGTACTTAACACATACTAGTGATAACGATTATTTTCTTTGTCAGTAATAAAACTGTCTCACTGTCAGCTGGTCAAACACAGAGTCCCAGAAAATTATTCTTATCATTCTTTAAGGCTTGAATTGTGGTTTGTTTCCTCTAAATCAGACGTTCTTGAAAATTAGGGGTTCTTCCTTGCATTCTCCTACTTACTTTTAGATTCATATTTTAAATGTACTTTAATAATTCACTCAGCAATGTGATAAGTAGTAACTTTCTGAATTGTTGTGAGTCTTAAGATATTCACATTTCACCATGATTATTGAATTAGAGCACGAGTATAGAATTCTAGGTTCAAAGCATTCTTCAGCACTTTAAGGGCACAATTTTATCATCTCCCAGCACCAAAGTTGTGGATGGGAAAGTTGATGTCGAGATAATTCTTGCTTCTTGTAGTTTTAATTATTTCATTTTTGTTTTTGATGATTTTCTTGATATTTCATTGCATTAAGAGTATTTTTAAACTGTTTTAAACTTTTATCTTGTTCATCAGGAGATGTTTTCCATCTGGAAACTTGTACCTTGGTTCATTTCTGGGAAACTCTCATCCATTGCTATGGCCCAAATGTTTGTTCCCCCGACACATATGTTGAACACCTAATCTCCAATGTGATGGTCTTTGTAGGTGGGGCCTTGGGGAGGTAATTAGTATTAGAATTAGTCATGAGGGTAAGTCCCCGGGATGTAATTAGTGTTCTTATAGGGAAATGAAAAAACAAAAGCTCTCAGCCAAGTAAAGACAAGTAGGCAACCATCTGTGAACCAGGAAGACAGCCCTCAGCAAGAACCCGATCACAGACCTGCAGCCTCCAGGACTGTGAAAAATGAATGCTTGTTGTTTAAGCCACCCAGTCAGCAGTGCTCTGTTATGTCAACCCAGACTGAATAAGAAAACCATTATCCACTCAACTCTCTCAGCCCCACCCTATTTACTCTCTTCTTCTGGATTCCTATTTGAATAATATTGACGTACCTAGAGTTCTTTTTTCGGTTCTAAAAGATTTTGAATATCTAATAAATTCATGCAACCTCAACATCAAATGTCAGGAAAAGACTAGAGCAAAAACTCTCCCTCGCACCCCCGTTGCCCATTCAGATAGTTCCTACTCCCCCATCCCCATTAGTAATATCTGTACATATTGCTAAATATTCATAGGGCAGGCCATAACTAAGAACAACAAACAAGCAAACAAGCAAAATTATGCTGATATTATTATATTGTTAACTTAGGATACCATTACTCCTTTCTCTTTC